GGTTGACTTTCAATGGACTACACAGTGTTATATACCAGATAATATACATACTTTTCATAACCACTGCTGTGAGAACCTTGAATTCTACTTAGTCTTGAGAATCTGATGGTATCCGGAGTGTAGATTGTGAATCACTTCTTCACATCCGGTCTCAAAATTATTTCCCTTCTCATAAAGAGTTCTATATGCATTGTTATTTCTAAAGATCATGAAGTGTCCTCTTGATTCCAAATAACGTTCATGTTGGTTTTTTAATCACAATTTCTGTGTTTCCTCTGCAATTAAATTCATTGGTAAGCAGCGGACTGATAATTTCTTATGTGCAAAGCTGTTGTCTTTATTCTATAACTTACTTTTCCTTTATTTAATAAGATCGTTGTTTTCAGTCATCTAATTAGAAAGTATTCCATTTTCAGATATATCCAATAAACTTTGGGTTTGAATGAATTGGATCCTATGTATCGTCAGTTTGCTCGTATATTTGAAACATTCCGAATATCAGAACCAGAAAAGTCTGAGGACACAAGTAAGGACCAGTTGCAGAAGGAACCTGTTAAAGACCTAGAACTGAAGAAAGTTCCAAAGTTGGAAGACGAATATGAAGAGGAGGAAGAAGAAGAAGAGGTAAAAGATCCAATACATATCATGGAATTTTTGTACAATAAGAGGATTAGTGTCACTTTAATATCTCAACTCTTATTTGCAGAAGAAGGAAGAAGAGAAAACAAAGTTGTCAAAGCGGAAGTTGAAGAAATTGACGCGTTTGAGTGTTGCTGAATTAAAGCAGCTTGTAAATCGTCCTGATGTTGTTGAAATGCATGATGTGACTGCCAGGGATCCCAAACTGCTTGTGCAACTTAAAGCCCACCGTAATACAGTTCCAGTGCCACGTCATTGGTGTTTTAAAAGAAAGGTAAGAACCTTGCGGACTACACAGTTACTGGGCTATTTTCTTTAGGTGCACCTTATTTGGAGTTGGAGTAGCTTTGAAATTGTTAATAGGTTCTGCTGGATCTCTGGAAATATCTAGTAAGGATTGAGGATCATGAGTTTTAACACTATTAAACCTATACAAACAGTTCTCTTCCTCATTTATTATGAGGTATGCTACAGTAGAACAGTATAAAATAAAGATCCTATTTTCTCTTGATCAATCAATAAAGCTAAATGCTGGGCTTAAATAATATTAGAAAATTCTTCAAATAAGATCTTCATCCATGATTAAAATCCTTCTTAATTGCTTGGTGTCTCAGAACCTGAATGCGAATGTACAGTTCTTTAAAATTTAGCTGTGATTTGTATCTTCCTGTGGGATAGAGTCCATTGCTTGTTGCTACCTCACTCACTGCAAGCAGATACTCTGACTGACACTCACTGAGTGTCAACATGAAATTTGACTCACTGCTGGTCCCCCAAAATGTGCCTGATTCACTTCTCAGCAGAGAATATCTGTCTGCTGATGTCCCGCACTGCTACAGTGTATGTGTATAAAGTCAGA